TCATGCTTTCTGGAGATGTGAACAATGGATGGAGAAGGAAAATGTTGCTGCCAATAATCTTTGTTTCCCCTGTAAATAATCCTTGGATTATGTGTAAATAACTGCCTTATAGAAACACGACAATAGTTAAAGGTTCATAAAGTAGTGCTTGAAGATAAAAATATTTTTGAGATGAGAAATTTTGAGACAATAAAACATGTGCTTCAGTCTGTGGCCATCTTGGACTCCTGGCCCATCCCTGCAGCTAAACTTTTGGATTTTGAAATATTTTTAGTGAGATGACAAGTAATTGAAAAGTGAAAAGAGACAATGAGGATCTGCAGTTTGTGTGTCAGTATTGGAGGTTGAAGATCTACATTTGAAATGTTCGAAGAAGACAGTCAATCCTTCTCCAGTGGAGACGAGAAAAGAAAATGAGGAGCATGTGAAGTAGATAGCTATAAGTACCGGTGGGGGAATAAAGAAACAGACATTATTGGCAGTAAAGACAGGGGAAAGACATCTGTAGAAGGAGTGGCAACCGCATGAAGCCATGGGATCCAGATGGGAAAGGAAAGGGGTAGGCAAATAGGATTATCTCAATAATATAAATCGATAAATCAGAGAAGACAAAAAGCCATGCAATGCGGCTTATGGGAAAGATGAAAACCAAACGCAAAAAAATGTGAGGACTGTTTAGCTCACAAAACCTGACATCGATCCAGTTAAAGAAAAACATGAGTCGGTTGTAAAACTAAACCATTCAAACAGGCACGGAAACACACAGCGAGCAAAGGTTGATCAGGGCAATTAGTTTATTATGTCTATTGCCTATACCAGGCCTGTTAGCATGAGAAGACTAATACAACAGCATTATCTGTTAAAAAAAAAAGAAAAGGAGGGAGGGAGAGACAGAGAAAATGGCTGCCCTCCAACTACTGGTTTTTGTCCCTGGCCTTCTCTCTATTCTGGGACTGTCTATGTGGCACAAAGCTGCACTTGTGGCATTGTTTCCACCTGATTCAAACCTCATGTTGAGCCTTTCACTAGCTACATAGTTTATGTGCCTGTTTTAATTTTCATTCTTTTTAGATTCTCCAGTCCCACATTTGATCCTCAGTATAAATTAATGGAGGGAGATTGTTTAAAAGAATAGACTTTGGATTTTAAATCTCAGGTGAAAGAGATTGAAAATCCCAAGAAATCCTGGAGAAATTAACTTAATGCCATTTGATGATGGCATTACGTTAATTAGGAGCAGCTTCCTGGCGTAACGACACCTCCATTCACGTCAAGGTAACATAAGCTAATGATACAGTAATACGGTGACTAAACAGTTGTTTGCTCTTAATTTTGGGGAAAAGAAATCTGAATTTACGAAGCATGTGAGGTTTTGATCATATATCCAGCAATACCTAATCTGCGCCAGCAGGTGAAGATAACGTCAGCAATAACCATGTCAAGATTACAGTGAAGAAAAGGATAACTTGAGGACAACTAAAGAAGTGCCAGGTCAAAGATTATCATTAAAAAAATTGTAGCTCATGCTTACCCTTTCCTTGTCATTAAGTTTTTGACTTCCATTCAATGTTTATTTGACACCAAGTAAGCACAGATGTGGAATAACTCATATAAAATACTTCTTTAAGGTTGTGGTTTCTAGCACAAAAAGTCAAATATAATGTTTATATTTATAGTAAAACAAGGTTTAAAAAAATCTCCACTTAAAAAGGGATTTACTTTTTTTTCCCACTTTTTCAAAATCAATGTTTGGATATTGCAGCTGTCTGCTCCCAAACAGCTCCAAGTAAATACTCAAAGGTTACTTGGTGTACCGTCACCAACATAGGTTCTTATTAAAGCCAACAATGGTCTATTTGGTTTAAATTTGCTATACAATAGATTGTATTCTTCAACTGACCATCAAACCAGATATAAAAGCTGTTCCATTCTAAACTTCACTTCAGTCACATCAGCCACTTAAATTTGGTGCAATGTAATAACAAATTATCTTCACATGTAGAGAATCGAGATAAAGAGAGGGGTCTGTTAGCCACTCTCTGGATTAACATCACAGAAAGGGCCAATGGTGATGTGATGTGGTGTGGTGCAGATGATTGCAGTGCTGATTCAGCTGTGTTTGGAAACCAGAAACCAAAAAGACCCTCAATCCCCCAGCCTCCTCTTAAAACCATATTCCGTCAACTCTCTCTTTAATCCCCGTCGACCCCTTTGCACGCCACACTGACACAAGCCACCCTGACTGTCTCCGCCAGAGATCCCTGCCCCTGGGAAAACCCATGAAAACGATCATCACCACTCACCACACCTCTATCTCTGATTCAAGTCGAGACCATATGTTCGGTGCCTCGGTAGGTCCCGTTGTTAACCTCAAGTGGTGAACTTCATTCAAACTTTGTGTTAACTTCTAATCACAATCTAGACACAAATCTCAAAACCTGAGAATGGAAATCAAATAACTCCACATTACAATCAGACATCATTAAGCTTTCCATGACTGGAGCTAGAGCCAAGATATCCAACAGGAAATTGCATTCAATTTCAGGGGGATGTTTCACTTTTACAGTATTCACAGGACTGGCAGATTTTTTTTCCCCCCCTTTGTGGCACATGTTTTCAGACTGATCTGGCTGTCCCACCTTTTAACAAATATAAGTAGAGTTAGATGTGGTTTGCTATTCATACGTACAACTGTATTAAAAACTGTTAACAGGTCCAGTTTAAAGCCAAGCTAAGTATTATTCCTGTGATGCATCATGTGTGGCTAAAACCTGATTTTATGTGGCATCTCCAGTGCTGACTAATGTGAAGGAGCTGTATTGCATTCAGGCCACATCATTCATCTTTTGTGGTTACACACCATTGGTTTCCACAATAACCAACTCAAGCAGAAAACAAGTAGGTATACAGCCTTATGGCTTGAATACATTTCTTTTGCTCATTTATCATCCATACAACACACATACTTTAATACTTACATTGTGTCATGGAAGAAAAGCCTCACAAGCGTTGAAGGCCATGATAACATGTGACAAAGAGATTTTTCAAATGAGAAGCACTTTCACCAACCAAGCTAGTATTGCTATATGGGTGGACAAAGACTGACACCTAGTGGCTCATATAAAAACTCACCCAGAAAACGTGAACTGAGAATGAAAAGAACAAACAAGGTGAGCAAAGGTCTATGTAAAAAAGTTTAATTAAAGGGTTAAAATGCAAAGTTGCGTAGCAGGGCACAAGACCTAAACAGTAGCCTAACTGGCTTTATAATCTCATGTGCACAGTGTTGGGTATAGCATATTTTATAAGTTTTTCCTTCAAGCAACTTTTTTGTAAACTTTCAAGAAAGTTGCCCATTGCCAGTATCTTGTAAGCGTTCAAGAAAGCTTGTAAGAAAACCTTCTTTAAAGCTCTTTTAAACAGCACTCTGTTGTTGAATAGACTCAACCTCAAAATGTGTCTGGCAACAGCTGAGATCCTACCAAAAAGAGAAAAACGGACAAACACAACATTGAAAAAAACAGTTTAGCTCTGATTGGTTCTTCTGGACATTTTGAAAGAGACAAACAACTTTTTTTGTATGCTCATTTTATTAAGACACCTTAACTAATTTAAAGTGCATTTTGATACAAAAAGAAAATCAATTTTATCAATGAAACTTTGATCCACAAAAAGCTGCATTAGAATGTCTACCTTTTTGTAATATTTAAAATCAAAGGTTCAGTCCTGTGGCATTGATTCTCTTCTTCTCGTGAACCTGGATTTGTCTCTGCAAGCTTAACCTTATTTCTACAGATTTTATTCCATATTGAAAAGATTACAAAGCACACAATACTAATCTCTCTCATACCTGAACTGACCTACATTTTAGCTCCCTAGTAACAGTTTTCCATTTCAAGTCACTGTCTCCCAGGGGGGGAAAAAAAAACAAAAAAACACATTTTGCTAGTTCCCATTGTCAATCAGTTGATCTTAATTAATGGTGTTCTTTGTCACTGCTAATTAAGATATAAAATGCTCAGCTAATGAGCAAGTTGTCTTTAGAAAAATATAAAAAGCCTCATTAAATTTTCACTTCCCAATACATACTAGTCTATCAACACAAATACATGTTAAAATTTGAGGGTTTGTTTCCCTTTTCATTCCTCTTCCCTAGCGTCACTTTTTAAATATTACTTACTTTTATATTTTTCATAATTTTACACATAGCAAAACAACAAAAAGATAAAGTAACATAAAGTAACAAATTGTGCAAATACTTTTGAAAAGAAACCTACTTCCACATGTTTCAGAAAGGGCGATAGAGGCTCAAGGGTATCGATTCGAACCTCACTATTACTCACTTTGTCCTGGGGCAAGACACTTCTCCTGCCTTGCCTATTTGTGGTAGTCAGAGATGGTGGTGCAGATTCATCAGTCGGATTGTAGCTTGTAATAAAAAAGCGCTTTGGAGTCCACTGGACTGGACTACATAAAGTGCTACACAAGTACAGTCCATTTACACAATATTAAATAAAAAAACAGCAAAAATCAGTTGAACTACACCGTCTGGCCCTTTTCTGGTTTAAATAAAACAATGAGTCACACAATTTTAACCCAAGACTGTCAGATGAATACATTCTGAAGCAAAGCATTTTTACATTAGTTAACAGGAAAGATTTTTGGCAAGATTGTTTTTTTGTGTCCTGAGTACCGTATTTTCCGGACTGTAGAGAGCACCTCACTATAAGCCGTACCCACAAAGTTTGTTTAAAAAAAAACAAAAAAAAAAAACAAAAAAACAAACTGGAAACATACTTGTATAAGCCGCACCGGGCTATAAGCCGCATGGTTCAAAGCGTGGGAAAAATACGGTATTTGTAAAAAGTCAACGAATGTAATCAAATCAGTTACTTCAAACTGCATGAAAATTAGGCAGCTTTAGAACTTTGGTGAAAATTGTCCAAAAAATAGTTAACAGTTAAAAGGTGGAATTATTAGACAATTAATTACACTGTATATGAATTAATCAAAAGTTTTAAAATCATTCATACATCCCAAATGTGCACATACATTCCCCTGAAAAAGCTCACTTTCTCCTTCTTAAGCATATTTTTGTCATTAAATGACATTTCTAATTCAATGGGATTTACCATGAAAAGTAAAACTGATACTGAGTAACAAAGTTGCTGCAAAAAGAAGAAGCACTGCTTCAAAACACTGGAAAATGAAACTTTCCAGTGGTATCAACCCAGAAAACTGAAGTGACTGACATACTTAAAAGATAAATACGTTAACAATGTACAGCTCAGGTGTTAACAGAAGAAGAGCTTAGAAGAGGACTGGTGTCGTCGTCCTTCTCAGGCTGGCCGTCCTCCTCAGAGGTTCCATCTTCTGACTTTATGGGTTCAGTGGAAACATCCACTCCGATGAAAGCCACTGCACTAAAATGTTCAGAAACAGGAACACATGTGGACAGGAAATAGACATTACCAATTCCAGCTAAAACAGGAGACAAGCTTATCTGTTGTGTCATGGATTTCCATTAATCGTGTTTTGGGAGTTTACAGACACATTGTCAATAAGTTAATTTTTAAGCTAAAATGATTTTCAATTTCATTAAAGAGTTCACAACCTGTGTGCACTTGTAGTTAGCGAGCAACAACAAAATATCTGGGTAGGGCTTTGTTTTGTTTTTTTAAACAGATCACTGTGCAAAGAAAGAAGCACAGCATGTGATAGACATGTAGGCAGTAAGGGGGGTTATGTTTCACGCTACAGCTCCCACATTGACTAAGCAGTATCACTTTGTCTTCTCAGTTTAACAACCGTCAGCAAAATATCCTTTAGTTCAACAGGACAGAGAGCTTCAGTGTCCATGGCACAGCCTACGACACTTTGAAAAGTATTTTATACCCCTTTGATTCTGTCTGAAAGACATACACAAAAAAGTGGGTGGTTGTGAAGATGATACAGCTTTTCCCAATTCTTTTTACTAATAAAAATCTGAACACTGTGGTATACATTCAGGGTCCCTGAGTCGGAAGAATAATTGACAGCGATTCAAACTGCAACCTTTCTTACACCCAGAGAAAAAACATTTTTACCTATCCCTCAATAAAAAAAAATAAAAATACCTGAAGATCTATCTGACTGGATGTAGAGAACCTGCAAACATATTTTCAAGTATTACTAAAGATTTTCAATTGGATTTTGGCCTGGACTTTTAACTGGGCTATTTTAACACATGACTATGCTTTGATCAAAGCATGGTGCTGGAAGGAGAGGTTTCAGCCAGTCTCATGTAATCTGTGACTGGATTTTTCTGTGACTGTCCAATATTTATCTCTATCCATCTTCCCATCAACTCTGACCAGCTTCCCTGGATCTGCTGAAGAACAGGATCCCCACAGCATGATGCTGGCAGCAACATTTTTCACATGGGATGGAAGGATCAAGGTAATGTGCAATGTTAATTCTCCACCATAGAGTTCTGTATAAAGGCTTAATGTTGGTCTCATTTCCTCCTTTTTCCACATTTCTGGTGCTTCCCCACATGACTTGTAGTAAACCTTAACCTGTCATTCACGAGAGGACCCAAATTTGGGTCCTCTCGTGACAGGTTAACGGTTAACCTGTCATTGTGAATGACAACTTGTGAATGACAGGTTAAAAGGAACATTTTATGGGTTTCTTTGAAGAATTACTTTCTTTTTCCCCACTTTGAATTGAAAGATTTGTTAAATGCCTTAGTAATACTTCTCACACCTGAGCAGTAGTATGATTTCACATCTTAGAAAGCTACGCAAGTTGTCAGATATGGTTAATAATTTTTAGGACAATGGTTAAAGTTATACTTTAAATAAGGAACTGTGCCTTCCTACTTCTTAATTTTGAACATTTCTGTTTTCTACAGAAATGACGTGTATTTGGCAATTATGACCCAGCAGAAAAGTGTTTTTGTAATCCAAATCCTTCCTCAAACTCCAGCAGCCAATAACAAGTTGGAGCTAAAACGCTTACACAACATTGCTGAGATCATGCATCTTTGAGTGTAGCTTTATTCCTTTCAAATACCAATCCGTGTTTGAACAAATCAGCCAGCGAAGAGACAACTTCTTTCACCAGGATGAAAACATTGTATAGGAAGGTGGTATGAAGTGAGCCATTGCAAGAAAAGAGCCACAAGGAGCCCTGTGTGATGGGGACAAAATATATGTGGGACACATTACAAAAAGTAACATTTTGGCCTGCATGAAAATCTGTATTTGTGAACAAAAACTAATACTCCTCATCACCAAGCTCATACCATCCCTGTGGTGAAACTAGGGGATGGCGACTTCATAATGTGGTGATGCCTTTTCATCAGCAACTTAATACTTTAAATCATGTCCTCAAAGAGTTAGGAACAATTTTGCATAGGATTGTGTTTGTATAAACTTGTCAACTAACAATTTTTGCTCTTCTTTTTAGATTTATTTCACTGGGAGTTTGATTTTATTTGTGTCTATTTTATGAATTTCTTTTCATTTAGGAAACAAATAGTTGCTACATGCAAGAGTCAAACGAAAGCCTGATATGACAGTTTAGTCTTGTGGTGTGAACACTAGGAAAATCAACTTACGCAATCGCAGATAAAGGAATGACACAGAGTCCTGCAGCTAAGAGGAAGGCAAAACCAGGGTACCACCCCACCGTGGCAGCATAGATACTGTTGAAGACCGCAGATCCAACGTTGTTAAATAAACTCTCCAGAAAGGAAAGATAAGCAAAAAGGGCTCCTGGAAAAAAAAAAGAAAAAAAAAAAGAGGAAATCAGTTAAGCATAACAGTGACAACTAAAGTCAATGTTATGATCCTTCAAGTCCTTTCACTTCTAGGATGAACAGAAACTTTAAGTGCTTTGTTTTCCAAGTGTACGCTGAAACGTTAAGGACAGGACACACACCAGTGGACTATGACTCTTTAAACACAGACATGCATCCATGGTGTGTGTCCAAAAGCGCACTTGCCTTGCTCAGACTTGGAGACGATCTTTGACATTACCGAGCGGAGAACAGGGAAAGGCATTATGGACAGCAGCATGGGGATCCGTACTGCAATAAAAAGAAAACAAACAAGAAAATTAAATAAGAAATTTTATGAAAGCTTTTGTGCAACTGCAAACACACACAATCACTGACGGAAATTAATGTTTCAGAGCTATAACGAGTTTCAGCGTTCATGTCTTTCATAATAACCCCCCTGGCAGTACTATATCTAAACCAAACAAAGCAGAGATAAGAAAATAAGCAAAGCAGAGATAAGATGTCATGATTACAAACATAGTAAAGCTTACAATTCAGTCATCTAATAAAAGACCCTGCAAACTCAGTAGCTTCTGAACACCTTACAGGCCAATAAACTTAGCTGTCAATCTGTAACCAGAGAGAATAGTCTGTAGTGTTTTTGGTAAGAATTTTTATTTTTTAAGTGCTGTTTTTATCTTGTTCAGTATTTAAAAGCTATTTTAGATAAATTGGTCATAAAATGAAACAGAAAACATAAATTACAAGGCCTGAAATGTGACAAGTATGGTTGCTGGATTTATGCAGCTTAATTAAAAAAAAAAGTTTAATTCATTTAATATCTACATTCCTCAGACAGAGACTCATATTTCAAGTGTTTATATCTGTCAATTTCAAGAATTAAGGCTTTCAGATAATGAATTCAGTTTCTTAGAATATTAGATTATAATAATTCAAATCTATAATGGAAATAATTTATAGGGCAAGGGATATTTACTTGTATCCACGTAAATAAATATATCCATCCATCTTTACCCATTTATCCTTGTAAGGTCACTGGGGTATATAGTGAATCATCATTTACTTGTGAATCATTTTCTTCCACACTTCCACATGCTTGGATAAACCCTTCTGACCTGTCAGCTTCTTTACCAATTATCTTTTTGTTGTTTACTGTCTGATTCTGTTAAGTGTCTGACTTTCTGGTGGACAAATGTCAACTCAGTCGTCTTCTTCACAATAGTGTCATCTATACTGTAAAATGTTTGTATCAGAAAAACAACATCAACATATCATTATGTGTGTAATGAGTCTATGTAATATAAATGTTCCACTTATTGAAATAAATTACATTTTTTTTTATTACTTTTCAAATTCTTGGGGTTGCATTTTTGTCTAGTTCAAGTAACGACTGTGCAAAGTTTAATAACTTTAATTACGACTCGGCAGCTTAAACTCACCTAAAAACATCAGAACTGTGGTCTTTGCAAACGCCACCATGATCAGTCCTGACAGCACAGACAGGATCCCCAACGCAACGATCAGCAGCTGCGGGACTCCACAGTATGTGAACGCCGACACTCCCAGGAAACTGGTCAGGAACACCGTGGTGGACAGTGCTGAGCCATAGCCAATCAGAATCTCAGTCCAGCACAGTGGCTCGTTTAGCTCGTATAGCGTCACCAAGGAGATGCCTCCAATGTAGGTGAAGGTGAAGCTGCTGAAGATGATTATCAGGAGGGCTAAAACTATTTTACACTTGTAGCTTGCTCTTGCAAAGATCTGGCAGAGCCCAAAAATCAACTGTCTCAACCCAGGGCGCTGGGGAGACCCGTCTATATCACTGCCATCAGCGGGAGTGTTTCTTACCGTCTCCTCCAGGATAAAAACTGCATAGACTAGGATCAAACACTGGCACAGGGCCGAAGTTAAGAAAGGCCAGTTAAAGCCTGCAGCTCTCAGGAAGTAACCTGTAGATATTGCGGCCACTCCAGACAACAGTCCAATCATCATATCCACTCCAGCCATTCGCAGCGTCTTCTGCCGGTCATCTTGGCACAAGTCTGCTATGTAGGCAAAGCAGCCTCCCAGGAAAGTGCTGATACCCCCAAACAGAGAGCTAAGGAAGGAAGAGCCGATGAGAAGGTAGATGTTGAGCTCAAAGAAGGACACAGTCAGGAAGGTGCTGGTATAAATCAGCGTGCCGATCAGAGGCATAACGATGGTGATCTTGCGTCCGCCCCGGTCGCTGTAGGCCACCAGCACAAGAGTAACGATCAAAGATGGGATTGTGGAGAGGAGCTCCGAGTAAAGGGAGAAAAGAGACGCCTGCTTCTGCACCTCCTGGAAAAGCAGACACAGGGAATTTAGGTTAGAATAAAATCAATTACTGCTTAGATGCATACACTGAATGTTCTAGTGTCGCGTCATCACCCCAATTATCCCAGCAGACTTTCGCTGTTGCTTGTTATTGTTTTATTTTAAGTAAAGAACTTGTTTCCTTTACCCTAACTGAAAAGTACTCCAGAAATTGATTGATTGATTGACACAGGTTTACAGCAATATTTACAAAGAATTAGTGGGTCTATCTGCTCTTGTAGAGAGTCTACAGTCACCTTCATAGTAGACATGCTGCATACTGCTTTTTAAAACTGTAGTTTTAACACCTAAAAAGAGCAACGAGAGGGGTCCCTTTAGTTTTAAACCACTACAGTCAATGTTTTTGACAGGGAGATGTTTCTAAACAGATCGATTTGGCTTTCTTGTACACGAGGGTCTTCTTTCAGCCAGATATCTGGCAGTTTACAGAAACAGGTGGATCAATGATCTTTAATCTATGCTCCAAAGATCTTGGAAAAAAAAAAAAAACTCTGCTGACTGACACTTTAATTTGAGTTTTAAACCAGTATAACACAAAAATGTTAGAGAGTCTGAAATCTTTGTCTAATACCTGTAAAACCTGTTATTCAGATGGCAGAGATTGTGAGAACAAGTGAGGTTTTTCTCGAGAAAAAGCAAGAGGAACAAAGCTCTACTGCTACGCAGGTGCCATTGTGGCAGCTGTGTCTTCAGATAAAAACAGATTATTCTTGTGTGAGTGCGTTTCACTTCCTACTTTTATTTTCACATTTGTTGATGGCATGACATTACTAGTCCATGAATGCATGTTCCTTTTAATCTGCTTAAAATCAAATTATGTTGGTGCGTTGAACACTGCAAGCTGCTATTGGATCGGAAATGATTTGAGATTATGTTGTTAGTTCAGGGTGTTGAAGTCAAGTTCAGAAGGCTAAGCTTGAGTCACATGTCTGCTTTGAATATCAATTAAATGTATCCACCAAATTAGCATTCTAAAGTATTTTGCAACAAAAATGCTATTGTAATGAATAAACAATGTTGCTCAGGTGCAACAACAATATACCCTTTAACTTTGAAATATTAAAGCTGCATAATTATAAATTATGCAACTTCTCAAACCAATTAATTGCGGGGTATGAAATTAAAAGGGGTATACAAATGCTCACCACATTATCAGATTTTCATCTGTGGGAAAAATTTAAAAAACAAAAACGAACAAAAAAAGAAAACCTGGCCAAAACTTTGTGTGAAATGTGAAAATTTTCCAGGGATGAAAATATTTCAGCAAAGCTCATATGCATTGGTCATTAGGAGTTGACCAGTTTTTACGGATTAATAAACAGCATAACATCCAGCTAGAATTACAGAATAATATTGATTTTTCATGATGGATAGTTTTTTTTTCATGAAAATGTTAAAAGACATCAGTACAGAGAGCTAGAGGGAATCACATTTGGGACTGATATTTATTTACATAAAACAACAGAACATTATCAAAATTTAAATTAGATAACCAATAAACATATCCTCTCCTTCCTTGCATCCTTTCATTATGAACGAACCTTATGGAAGTCAGTCTGGTTGCTGCTGCTGTTACTTGGAGCACATCTGGAGGTGTTGTCTGAGACGGGATAGGGAGTGTTGGTCAGCTGCTGCCAGAGCCTCCTGTACACATACTGCTGGACCAGCGGGTAGATGAGAAAACTGCTAAAAGCATACAGAGCCACCACCGGCTCCACCAGGTAAAGGCGCTTCATGTTGAGGAGGTATAAATTAAAGTTTCTGAAAAAAGCAGGATAAGAACATGAGATATTTAGAGATGCATACACATAAACCGGGAGCCGAGACTGGTCTTTAAAAGTACTAATCATTTGTTTTCACGAGCATATTCACTCACAATAAAAAGACAGCATGCAAATTAACCAGCATAATTTAATCTTCAAGTGTATTTGTGTCAAGGACATCACAAGAGGCATATGAAATTGAAATTACATGATTTAGAACTGAATTTCTTTTTATATGGGGAGGTAACAGAAAAATCTGAATTTCTTCATTTTATATGCGTTTTCAAATATGTTTAGGGTTTCTTTTCAATTCTTTTTTAATTCTTAAGTCACATGTCCTTAATTTTCCATAAATCTATGTTGTCTTGAACAGATGTTCAAGAACACATCTTTTCAAGAAAATAGATGTTTTTTTTTCCTTTCTTTTGCTATAAATATGTAGTTTTTTTTTGGGGAAAAAAAAAAAAAAAAAAAAAAAAAACATTAACCAAAGCAAAGGAAACGTATAATTCTTGAACAGCTCTTGTTTTTCTGGCTACAGGTGGGAGATTTTTTTTTTTTCTTACTGCTTTCAGGTTTTGATTAGAACTTGAAAGGATAAATTGTGACTGTGGGTCTTTTTTCTTTACTTTCTTCGAATGCTTCCAAATTTCCCTAAATTCTATGGGTTCCATAATTTGATAAAAAAAACAATTAATTTACAAAATTTAACAACGTCAAAATAACGCTAATGCTTTATGCCCTTTGTGATTTCACCAAAAACATGGAAGACTTGTTTTTGTAGATTTTCTCTCAATTACATAACAACTAAAATGCAAAACACATCTAAAAAATTACCCTCATATCTTCTGTAGGTGAAAAACTGCAGAGAGCTTGATTGATTCTACATAAAAGTCTGGCGATAGCTTTAAAACATAAAACTGATCCATAGCTAGTCATCAAATAGCAAACTAATTTTCTCACTGATGCATTGGGTGATAGAAAAACCGCAATTTGTTGCTTTAAAACTGCAAATCAACAAAACACATTCACACAGCTTAAACAAGATAGCATAATATTTACATTTGTCTGCTCGTATTACTATCGTTATGCTAAGAGAAATGTTATGATCAAACCTTGTCCGCCAATTAGGAAGATAACACATAATTTAATAACCATAAGAGAGTTTATTTAATGGGAAACATTAGCAGATGCTGTGGGGTGAACGGGGTTAGTTCGATAACACACGTTTAGACGACATGGCAAAGCCTTATTGTATAGTATTCATATTAATCATAATATTTTGCAGAGACAGTGCAGTATCAATACCTACCTTATTAAATAGCCAATTCAGTCATGTTATTGCTCGATATTCACTTCCAAACACTGTTGTGTTTACGAATAGGCTGGAGGTCTTGTTATATATGCCAGCGCGCAGGGTTATGAAAGCCGGCTGTCCCGCCTCTGGTCTAATCTGATTGGTAGAAAAAACTGCAAACCTTCTCTAATTGGATGTGAGTAACTGTCTATTATGTTTAAAGGCGGACGAGTTCATATTTCTAGTTTCTTTCTGCGTATTAATTGTAGTTTACATGTGTGCCTGTACAGTTGTTATCAGTAACGTTTACTAGCTTTTAAAGGCAAGTACTTCAAGTTTTGTTGCAATTAAGGCACTTCCGTCATATATGGTTTTAGAAGTATTACGGTAACGTGAGGCAGGGCGTGCTTTACTTTACGTCCGAATGTACCACTCCGCCAACACACCGGGAAGGATTTTGTTGTGACAGCGGTACAGCGACCCGGTGGGGAGACGGTAAGACGGGGTTTATAGTACATTTATTCTGTATATTTTAATTAAGCCAGATAGTTGCTACATAAAACCAACATTTAGAAATACATGCAAGCGTGTGTGTTTTACATGAGCGGGACTAGATAAGAAATGCGATAGTAGCTGGTAGTTAATCATCCCAGGACGCGCAGGTAGTGCCACCATCAAAATAATGAAACCTAGCGAATCATAGCCGTCTCTGTGATTTAATCTGGCTAAGTTGGCTAACGTTGCCAGCTAGCGTTAGGCGTGCGAAGGACAGCAAATACTTTCTTCACATACGAGTAATTCACCTGCTTCGTTTGATGGCTTTGCGTTGCATAAAAATGTAGCATTGTGTGCTAGCTGGTAGGTTAGCGGTTGCTTCGTATGCTGCTGCTGCGTTTTGAAGTCGTGACTATCAGTCAGGGAAGATGATCTGCCACTTCCCCGGCCTTTAACTTTCACCATCTCCCTCTATCACTGCTACCCTGCAGCGAGTCTGTTAAAATAAATATTAGTTTGTCATCTCTGTCGGGCAGTGTCCTCACTGATCCCCCCTTATACGGATGACTTTGCAGCCTAACTTTCCTTCTTGTTCCTGTAATTGTTTGGCAAGTTTCCCTTATTTGCAGTTTAAGGGAAACGTTTCGAAATACAATAAACTGTCACTGTTTTATTGTTTATACAGTCGTCTTAGATTTTGAGACACAAATAGTGGACTTATCGATCCTTTCTGTAGCAAGCTGCAAACAACTAGAAGTTGGTATTAAAATGTAGGTTTACCCCAAACTTTCTGCTGTCTTTGGTACAATGGATAAGCAAGATAATGGTATTATGCAAAGCATGCCGTGTTGTGCTTTGGTTTTCTTCTGTTCAGGCTTGCCATACTCTTGAGATGGAAGACTGCTGCTCTGCTCACCCATGTGCAGTGGCCTTCATTGTCTCAATCTTTAAAAGATGTATTGTCCTATTCAGAATCAGAGTAAAAAAACTGATAAGATCAGAGGTCCATTTGCTAAGATATTATTCAAATCTCCGACTTTATGTTGTGCAGGCGGCATTATGGTCTTATCTGTTTCAAATGAGTTTGGCTATCTGATGTCCTTTAGCCTTGGATCACAGTGCCATGGTTCAGCTGAGCAGCGATTGGCACAACCTGGAACAAATCCACCAATTTTCTTAAATGTAAACCTTAAACTGTATCAAACAATTGATCATACACACAGACTTTCTCAGTGTTGTTCCTGACCTTGTCTGTTCCTTTATGACAGTAGTCTAGCTACGTTCTGATGGCTGCTTCCTGCAGAATAACACACCCTGTCACACAGCTTCAATCAAATAGCTCAAATCAGCTGGTTCTCTGAACATGACAATCCTTCACATATGCTTGATCTCAATCCAGTGGACCAACTTTAGGAAACATTTGTAATGGAGGAATTGCATCACAGATGTGCAGCTGAAACATCTGCTGCATTCTGCGGTGCTATCATGCCAAAATGACCCAAAATCTCCACTTGTCTCTGACACCTTGCTGAATTAAGGCAGTTTTGAACCTCAAAGTGTGTCCAGCTTGCTACTAGATAGGTATGGCAGTGGGTATATTTATGTGTTTAGAGATGCACCGTTCAACTGAATTGACATCAAAATCAACCACTAAAAGACAGAACATTTTTTTTTCTTTTGATTAAATGCATCAAAAGTAAGTGCTTCCCATCCTCTTCAGTTTGTAAGTAAATTAATTAACGATTAACCTTTTCTAAATTAGTGAGAAATTTAAGAAAGGTTAGGTACATATGCTTAGATGTATAAATAAGGATTTAAAAAAATAAGTATTTTCTGTTTTACCTTAAATAAAGATCCTACTGTTAAAGTTATTCAACAAAAATCTTAAAATAAATGTATTTTTATGTCTCGTGATCACTGATTCTTATTTCTTTCCTTTGTTTCCAGGTAATAACATAGGATTTTTTTTTCATCTTGGATCAGCTATGGCTTTCAGCAAAGGATACCGTATTTACCACAAGCTGGATCCACCACCTTACAGTGTCATAGTGGAAACGAGGGCGAGGGAAGAATGCCTCATGTTTGAATCAGGAGCTGTTGCCGTTTTGTGTAAGCCATCTGTTTTTTAATTGAGATATGATTGACACTATCTTTAGACTGCACCTTCAAGCAGTGGCATTTCAATGGAAGTATGACACAAGCGATTCATCCTAGAACATCTGTCAACTACTTACAAATGATATATTTGAACAGGCTCTAATAATGTTTTCTTCTTACCCGTTTTGTCTCTTTTAGCGGCGGCGGAAAAGGATGCCATTAAAAGTACTTATACCAGGATCTTTGATGCGTATGGAATCCTTGGTGTTCTCCGGCTAAACCTGGGTAGGAAAACAGAAAATGATTGTTCCCTAAATGGTTCCAGGCAACCATGATGCTTCTCCTCTGGTTTGTGGCACTGTTGCTCCTTAGTCATAAGCTGCTTTCTTCCGTCCTTCATGTGACCTTGAAGGGTGTTGTTATCACAACAAGGAACCAGCGTGAAAGATTAAAGCTCAGTCTTCTTGATGGCTGAGATTAGGCTGGCTGCTGAATTCCTGTTATGCAGTAATGGCATCAAAGTTCAGTTAACCATTTCTTGTACTTTTGATCCCTCAATTTTGCAGGGGACTCCATGCTGCACAGTCTCGTGGTTGTGACAGGATGCAGCTCTGTGGGGAAGGTGCAGGATTCAGAGGTCTTCAGGGTCACGCAGACAGACTTTATATCTCTGAAGAACGATCCAGGTGATGAGGACCGGATTTCCGAGGTGCGCAAGGTCCTAAACTCAGGACACTTCTACTTTGCCTGGTCTGCTACTGGAATCAGCATGGATCTAAGTCTCAATGCGCATCGCAGGATCCTAGAAGACACTACAGACAACCGCTTCTTTTGGTAGAGATGTCAACATTTCTCTGTTTAAAGTTTACAGAATAGCCTTTAGGCGTGCATTTGTTTTGTTTTTTTTCAAAGATTGTGATCTGTTTTTGCTACTTTTTATTTAGTCATCTTTCCCTCTTTGCAACCAAACAGGAACCAGTCTCTGCACTTGCACCTCAAACACTATGGAGTAAACTGTGATGACTGGCTGCTGAGGCTGATGTGTGGCGGCGTAGAGATCAGGACCATCTATGCCGGCCACAAACAGGCCAAGGCTTGCATCTTCTCTCGCCTCAGCTCGGAGCGAGCCGGCACGAGATTTAATGTGCGAGGAACCAACGATGACGGACAGGTGGCCAACTTTGTGGAGACTGAACAGGTTAGTCACGGCTTCAGTCGACAAGTTCCTTCTTTTCTTAAGTTATCACACAGATGGAAGGCAAAACGTTTAACAATTTCAGTATGATTTAAATCTATTTTTGTCAGCAGTTTTACTTTGTCTGAATGAAACCCCTAGTAATTCAGTCTGCCCACAGCTCTTACTGAGTCAGTCATTAAATATTATTGATAACATTAAATTTAGGTATTTTATTTTGCAAATAAATAAATAACTCAGCTTATCGATTGTCTTCCAAGTTATGTTGCTATTCATTCCAGTTTCAGAATATTTTTATAAATGTATATTTAATCGTTGTGTAAGTGATTTTAGTTGTGTAATTACATTCATTCATAAAGAAAAACACTAAGGATTTCTCTTGTTCTTTCCTTCAAAGGTTGTCTTCCTAGATGATAAAATCTCATCGTTCATCCAGATCCGAGGATCCATTCCTCTTTTCTGGGAACAGCCAGGAATCCAGGTACAGATGGTATCAAATGCTGAAGTATTAATGTAATGTAAGGCATTTATTCAAATTATAAAACATTTTTGATGGTTGAAGTTTTCTCGATTTTCTGGATGCTTAAGTCATAGGTAGGACTCAGGATTGTTTACTGTGGCAGTGTATGTTTGCTGTGTTTTTTGATTAGTTGGCCTCTTCGTACCTCCTCTTTGCAACTTCATGCCTTTCTTCTTCCACTTCATATGTTATTTAACCTTTTCATAGCCATTAACTTAAATAATTTCATAAAGTTTATTGTCCTTTGTCGTCAAATATTTTTAATGAATTTTGAAGAGAAAACGTGTAATTTAATTTTGTTCATTTATTTTAAAAAAAGCTTTTCTGTTGCATCTAATTTCTTGTGACCCCAGTTTGGGCCTCTTCACTCTTATGATGTTTGACA